TACTGCTTCTAACTAACTACTGCTTCTAACTAACTACTGCTTCTAACACACAGACAATAAAAGGGTAACAGAAAAGATAAAGTTAAAAAAGGTCAAAGCTTCCTGATACCACAGTAGGTAAAATCTGTCACAAGTCATCGTCAACATTTTCTTTAAACTTGGAGAATTAGGCAGCTACATGAAGAGAGGTGGTTATGGGGAGCAAAGAGTATGGGTTTAAAGATGTAAAATTACCACAGCTATCTAACAGCTAATATTTATATTGTATTCTATTGTATATTCACATTGGAATATTCCAATGTTTTCAAAAGTAGGACAAGACAATAACAAGTGGCTCAGTTTTATTTTATCATCAAACATTAATTGGTGTCACAATAATCTACTCCTTCATAAAAATATCTGGAATATCTTCGGTAATAAGTGTTGTTATAAATTTACAATTTCTTCGTTCCATTCCTCAGATATACCAGGATTTTCAATTTTTTTATGTCATATCAGAACCAAACATGACAAAAACACGAGCAAGGTAAGCAAAACTGGGTGGAGGGAGTCCCTGCACTGGTGACCCTGAAGATGGACTGAGAAGTTAGCTGTTTGTGGAGACTTGGGCAGATGTTATACATATCTAGAAACTAAACAGCTGCCATATAGGTTCATGTCCTTTTAAGGGGTGAGGGGGTTTGTGCAAAGGGAGCTTGGTACGCCATTCAATGCTTGATTAGAAGCATTCACTGAATAAATGTAAGGAGATAGACAGCTTTTTTTAAATTAATAATGGAGAAAGGGTTATGAGAAGCAGGCAGAAAAGTGGAGTTGAAGCCAAGAGATCAGCCATGATCATATTACTTAGCAAAGCAGGCTTAAGGGTCTTAATTGCCTACTCCTTCTCCTAGTTCTTAGGAGATGTTATGTTAATATTGGGGATCTTCACTGACAATTACACAATGTTCAGCACCATTTGCAACCCATCAGTTACTGATGCAGTCCTTGTCTAAATGCAGTAAAACCTGGACAATATCCAGACAAATGGCAAGTAATGTTTGTGCCAGTCAAGTGCCAGGTAATGGACCATTTCCAACAAGAAATGGAGAAACCTAACCATTACCACATGACTTTTAATGACATTTGCATCACTGAACTCCCCGAATAATCAATACCCGGGGGTTACCACTGACCAGAAACCAAACTGGAGTAGCCACTGTATTTATGTGGCTACAAGAGCAGATCAGAGGCTAGGAATTCTGCAGCGAGTAACACACCTCCCAACTGCCCAAAGCCTGTTCACTATGAGGCACAAGTCAGGAGTTTGATGGAATATCCCAGTTTCCTGGATGAACACAGCTCCAACAACACAAGAAGTTTGACATCATCCAGGACAAAACAGTTTTTGAGTGAGAGAGGATGTGGTGCCATTCAGTCCATTTAACAATGACACACCATAGCGCATCTGTACCATCTACATGATGCACTGCACAGTTTCACCAAGGACCCTTAGACAGCACCTTCCAAACAGACGACCACTATATGGCAGCACCAGCATCTTACCAGCCCTTGCTTCAAGCTGCTCACCTCGCCTGACTTCGGGGGGGAAAAAAAAAATTGTTCCATCCACATTGCTGGGTCAAAATCCTGGAACTCTTCCCAAAAGCATTATGGAGGTATCTACACCAAACTGACTACAACAGTTTACTAAGGTAGCTCATTACCACCTTCCCTAGGTCTACCAGGGATACACAAGAAATGACAGCCCAGCCAGCAATATGTATAGTGAGATCTCAGTGACAGATTTATGTACATTTTTAATGTTGTTTATTTTTTGGTTTCGATTTTTTATTTTGAATTAGTGACAAGTTTTTTGTAATATGTACCTATATACAGGAAAAGGTTTTAGCATTTAACTTGCAAGTAGTTCTGCAGCCATAGTGACTTATTTTAAAACGGTGAGAAAGATTTGGCCTTCATAAATAATAGGTACGGCAGCATGCTTGGACAGAAAGTGTTTTGAGTCCATTAGAGAAGAGTCATACAATGCAGAAAGGGCCCTTTGGCTCATTGAGTCTGCACTGACAATAACTACCATTAAAGGTACGCTATTCCCAATTTCCTACACTTGTCCCATATCCTTGCATGTTATGATTTCAAGTGCTCATCCAAATTTTTTTTTCCCCAAAAAGTTGTAAGGTTTCCAGCCCCAAGGCAGTGCATTCCAGATTCCTACCACATTGAGTCAATAACCATCTATCAATCTTCTATCTGACCAATTACACTATATCTTCATGTAATCTACAACCAACATCTTCACGAACAACTATTCTACCAACTTTGGTGTCACCTGCAAACTTGCTTAAACATTCTCCCCACATTTTCATCTGCATCATTTAAGTGTTTAACACATAAGGGTCCCAGTACGGTCCTTGTGGCACATTGAAGTCCATTGTCCTGCAGTCACTCGAACAGCCTTCCACCACTACTCTTTACTAAGCTAGTTTCAGATCCATCTCTCAAAGTTTCCCTGAATTGCCAGAGTACAACTCTGCTTCAGAAGTAGTGTCACATACTGGACTCAAAACGTTAACTGTTTCTCTCTGCACAGTGCTGCTACATCGCTGGCGAAACTCAGCAGATCTGTTTCAGATTTGCAGCATCTGCAGTATTTTGCTTTTAGTCAGAAATTATGTTGGTGGGGAGGCAGAGAGAGTATGTGGCATTTGTGTATATTATGAATATTTATGGTTGAACAAGGTAAACAATTGCTTAAAGGTTTGTTTCCAGAGAAATTTCTGGATTTGCCTTTAAGCTTAGCTGAAACATCGCTTAGAGATCTCTCAATTTTAGTTCCAGCTGACAGGACAGCACTGCTGAACTCCTTGGACAAAGATGGATGTACAAAGCAGTGTTCCTAAGAAAGAGAGAAGGTAGCAAGATTTGTTAACACTAGAATTACTTTAGAGTAAGAAGTTTAGTGACAGCCGAGACCAAAAATGTTTGGATAAAATCCTTGGAGCTTACATGTAGCTGAGATTATTTCAGTTAAATTTAATCGCTGTATTAGAGAATGGGATTCCCTGGTGTGAGTACTGTACAAGAATGGTTTGGGTAAAGTACAAGGTACATTTTATGGATTCGTAAAGAGGTGTTTTGAGATTAATGGGAACATATTTCTACTGTATGTTTCAAAATCTCTTAAAGAATATTACATGTAAAATTTGGTCTGTTTAATTTTATTTTCATTTTGCTTAATAAACTTCAGTTTTACTGTTAAAACCAAATCTGCTCCATTTGAGTCTGGGATCTGACTTGTTTAGTAATAACATCAGCTGGAATCATAATAAAAGAAAGAAAAATATACTAGGACTTTGCATGATTCATTTTCTAAGAATCACATTGCTAACAAACGGCTAGATCCTCATCAAGAGCCACATACCTTTCCAATCCACGTGCCCAGCAGACTCACGCACACTTTGCCATTATCATACAGGTTAGGGTTGAGACGGCCACTGCATTGAGAGATATAACGAAAAAGTGGCGGCACTGCAGGATAAACATTGGGAAGCTGGATATCAAAGAGGAACAACCCATCATCATAGGGAGTGCGTGTTGGGCCTTTGATTAGAGCAGAGAACAGATCCTATGGAAAGAAGAGAAGTTATTGGTCTTGACACCCATCATACAACTCCCAAGTAATAACAACGCATTTAAACAAGTGAGGGGATAAAGCCTCAAGCAGGTTCGCTCTTATCCACATTGCTCCTCACCACATACTTTAATCAATGTTTACATAACCAAGACTGGTATTTAAGCATTATCACGATAGCTATTTCCATGCAATTATGAAAGCTTTGGTGGAAGACTGGCATAGACTTGCCATTCTATCCTCAAATGTTTTCACCATGATGCCATCAGGAAGTGCTGTCGCGAGTAATGCCATCTCTTTCCTCACGGTGTTGAAAAATTTTTTTGAATCTGCTGGTTGAAATTCCATCTTTTTGAATGCATGACTGTCTGTAAATAAAGAGAATGAAATCTGCATAAACAATTTCTGTATCATTCTGAGATTTATAATCAGCATAATGATAAAAACTGGTACTAACTTAAACACAAACTGCCAACATATATTCATTGTAATTGTTTTACTGGAGGCCTTTCAGCCCACATTTTATTATGAACAAAAAGGGAACTGATGAAAGACAAATCAGGTCATGGCTGATCTATGTCAACTCCGTTTTACCAGTGCTCCATACCCTAACCAAAGTCCATCATTCTCAGTCTTGAAAACTCTAATTGCCTCTTTGTATTTGCAGTTTCTGTTGGCAGTACTTTCCAGTTTTCCAAAATTTTTTTGGTAACAAGAATTCATTCCGGAAAATACCCAACAACTTGACTCATACCTTAAGGCTACACCCTCAGCCGACCCTGCTCTGAATGAGCCCAATAATATCTCATTTTGCAACTTATGAGTAAGAATTCTCCTTCCCACCTTGCTATGTCAAGGAAGCAAGGAGAGGGTATCAGCCTGCAAGAACCCAAGATCCATGCCTGAAAATAGCAGCATCCTCTATTTTCTTTACGCGTGTTCATGCGAGGAGTGTGTTTCTGGCTACGCCAGCATTCATTGTCCAACTTCAATTGCTCAGAAGTCAGACACACTGTTGTGGGTGTGTAGTCACAAATAGGACAGACCAGGTAATGATGGCAGATTTCCTTTCCTAAAGGACCTTAGTGAACCAGATTGGTGTTTACAACAGAGGTTACATGCTCACTATTAGACTAGCCTTCTATTCCAGAACTGTATCAACTTTAAATTTCACCATCACATTGGTCGGTTTTGAATCTATGCCCCAGTACATTAACATAGCATTGTGGATTATGAGACCAGTGACTTTTACCACTCTACCATTACCTCCTTAGTCAGCCTGTCTCAGTCACAACAAATACTCCCATGAGAACTATGCATTGTCAAAAGCATTAGTTTTATGCATTGCCTGAAGTTTCTACTTTACAATTTGTCATGCGTTTAGAGAAAGGGAAAACAAATAAAAAGTACAAGTACAACGTTCGTAGAGACTAGTCTTACCAGGCACTGACTCCAGTACAGAGAAGACTTCTCCTTTTGCACTCGTGAAAGTCACACCAGGTTTACTGCTCTGTTGACAAAGTACAGGCGTATCACTGGACCACTCTGATTTAATAGGAGTCTGCATCTCAAGCTTTTCTTCTTTATTTTCAGTTTCCACAACAGCCTCCATCTTCTCTTCCTCCACAATGGCCACATTGTCCAGTGTCTTTTGAAGAGTTTCCTGCAGTTTCTTGATATCATCTCGGAATTTCTTATCTTTAGTTTGCTTTTCTGGCTCTACTGTTGGGGAAGTAGCAGAGCCAGTCATCAGCTGTTCTACTGTCATATTCTTCAGACTTTCCAAAATCTTGATCGCCTCTTTTATCTCATGAAAACTTTTGGGAGAGCCATCCTTTGCAACTTTCTCAAGACTTGTGCCACTTGAAGTTGCTCCAGCAACCTGAGCCGGCTCTGCTTCAGTCTTACTCTCTTCTGATTGTGCTGACACCTCTATTCCAACTTCAAGCGCTTCACTTCCCTTTACAACTTCGTCTTCAGTCACACCATCATCTGTTTCCCAACTATCACTGTCATCTTCCCACTCATCAGATGTTGCTCCAGTAGAAGTCCCATCCAAAGAATCCAGGTCAGATTCTTCAATGTCAGATTCAACATTATACAGGTGCTAGCAAAAAGTAAAGTAAGTCAAACTTAATTTTAAGTTGCTAACATTACATGATATTAGAAAATAAATCGAAAAAGATCATTTGGTTCCATCACCTGGGTTACAACTTAACCATGAGCAACTGAGCATAGGACAAAAGAAAATCAGTCAAATGCATGACTCAGACTGGAGAGCGCGAGCGCAAGACAGTGAGAAAGAAATATGTTTCAATGCACTGAGCACTAGCACCAATGAGGAGGAAACAGGGGACAGTACTGTTAGAGGTGCTCAGGTAAAAGACCAGTGTACTGATGAATAGTGTAACTATGGTTGTAGAGATGGCTTTAAACCAAAGAGTGTGGAGGAGGGTTCATGTGAGCCGAAGATTTGGAAATGGTAAAGAGGAGGAACAAGGATATATTTTTTCTTTTTTTGTTCATGTCAAAAAGATTATTGGGCAGTCAGAGGATTGGGAAGGTTTTAAAAGGCAGAGAGCAGCAGATTAGAGGTGGTGGTGCTGGACGTCTTAAAATGCATGAAGGTGGATAGATCTGATCAGGTGTATCCCAGAACTCTGCAGGAAGCTAGGGAAGTGATTGCTGGGCTCCATGTTAAGATGGTTGTATCATCAATAGGCACAGATGAGGTGCTGGAAGACTGGAGGTTGGTTAACGTGGTGCCACTATTTAGGAAAGGTGGTAAGGAAAAGCCAGGAAACTATAGAGCGGTGAGCCTGACAGTGGTGGGCAAGTTGTCGGAGGGGATGCTGAGGGATAGGATTTACATGTAATTGGAAAGCAAGGACTGATTAGGAATAGCCAACATAGCTTTGTGCGTGTGAAATCGTGTCTCCCTAACTTGAGTTTTTTAAAGAAGTAACAAAGAGGATTGAAGAAGGCAGAGTAGTGGACGTGATCTATATATATGGTCTTCAGTATGGCATTCAATAAGGTTCCTTATGGTAGCCTGGTTAGTAAGGTTATGTCACATGGAATACAGGGAGAACTAGCCATTTAGATTCAGAACTGTCTCGAATGTAGAAGACAGAGGGTAGTGGTGGTGGAGGGTTGTTTTTCAGACTGGAGGCCTCTGACCAGCAGTGTGCCACAAGGGTTGGTGCTGGGTCCAACACTTCATTTATATAAATGATCTAGATTTAAACATAGGAGATATGGTTAGTAAGTTTGCAAGTGACACTAAAATTGGAGGTGTAGTGGACAGCAAAGAAGGTTATCGCTGGGTACAAAAGGACCTTGATCAGATGGGCCAATGAGCCGAGGAATTGCATATGAAGTTTAATTTAAATAAATGTAGATGCTGCATTTCAGAAATTAGAACAGGACTTGTACACTTAACAGTAAAGTCCTGGGGAGTGTTGCTGGACAAACAGACCTTGGAGTGTAGGCTCATAGTTCCTAGAAAGTGGAGCCCCAGGAGATAGGAGGGGAAGCCAGCGTTTGGTATGCTTGCCTTGATTGGTCACAGTGCATGGAGTACAGGAGTTGAGAGATCACGTTGTCACTGAGCAGGACATTGGTATTGTATTGGAAGGGTATTGTGAAACTTGAAAGGATTCAGAAAAGATTTACAAGGATGTTGCCAGAGTTGGAGGGTTTAAGCTAGAGGGAGAGGCTGAATAGGCTGCAGTTATTTTTTCTGGAGCTGAGGCCGAGGGCGTGACCTTATAGAGCTTTATAAAATCATGAGGGGTATGGATAGGGTGAATAATCAAGGTCTTTTCCCTGGGACTGGGGAGTCCAAAGCTGGAAGGCATAGTTTCAGGTGAAAGATTTAAAAGGGACCTAAGGGACAACGTTTTCATTCAGAGGGTGTGGAATGGAATGAGCTGGCAGAGGAAGTGCTGGTACAATTACAAAATTTAAAAGGCATCTGGATGGGTACATGAATAGGAAGGGTTGAGGGGGATTTGGGCCAAATGGGAATAGATTAATTTAGGGTATCTGGTTTGCATGATCAAATTGGACCTAAGGATCTGTGTTGTACATCTCTTTGACTCTTAAGTCCTTGAAGATGAAGGATACAGATTAAAAGACCACAAGCCGGTGATGTGGGAAGTAGGGCTGCTCCTTCGTAGGCTTAACATGCCAAATGATCTTCTGTGAGCTAAGTTTCTATGATTGTTACATTGAGAGTATAAAGCCCAATGTACATCAGATTCAGCTAAAAGTATAACTCTGGTACAGAATTGAACTTGGGCCAATAAACATACTAGATAGAGCAGTTGGCAATGACCAGAAACCTACAAAGATAGGTGAATTAGAGACAAAATCAACAAATTCAAAAGGAAACTAGATGGGCACTTGAAGAAAATAAACTTGAAAAGGTTACAGAGATATAAAGCAAGGGAATGGACTGACTTGATTGCTCTTGAGCACTGGCATGGACTTGTTGGGGTGTATGACCTCAATCTATCCCATTGTAATCCTTATGGAAGTTTAATGTTGTTTTCCCTCAAATACCTAGTTATCAAAAATGTGTCCAACTTATTCTCAAGCAGGCTGAGAATGAGTTAAGTCAGAATGAGTATGGACATTCCTTCCTACCTTGATGACAATCCCATTAGCTCTGGGCAGTTTCTTACCTGAGGCAGTATGCTGGATTTGGAGTTATCAGCCCAGACTACTTCAACCTTCCCACTAATATCGACTCGCGACACCTGACCAACAGAAGGCTCCTAAAAGGAAGAGAGAATTGCTCAGTCCAAACATACAAATTCAGCTTTGCAAATCAAATGCCAGCTAGTCTCCATAAAGATTGTAGTCCACAGAGAATAAGTGGATTGTCCTTTGGCTTCTCAGGATCAACCAAAGCATTGGCACTCTGTTCAACCAATAGTTTGTTTTTATTTATTAGATGAAATACAAGGGACACAACTGTTTAAGGTTTCAAGAGTTCAACTTGTTGATTTTCGGGGCGGGGAGGTTGGTTAGGTAAAGCTTTTGATTTTCGCTGTTAGGATAGTGGTAAATATGGACTGTTGAAACTTGCCTTCCATCATTTGATTTTTAACTGGAGAACTTCCATGGGAGAAAAACTGGTTTAATGAAGGACAAAGACTGACCTACAATGACTTCTGTGATCACCTGGCTAGGGTGGGTCAAGTTCATGAAACCATCAGTAAACAAGAATTAGTCTGAGCCATAATTAACTTCATAACAAGAAGGCACAAAGCTAAGATGTATCTCACCCGATTAATTCACTAAGCACTGATTCAGCTAAGGCAGCTCACCACCACCTTCTCAAGGACAACTAGGGTCGGGCAATAAATGCTGGCCAGCCAACGACACCCTCATCCCACAAATGAATAAAAAAAATTCACATTCAAAGCTTTGCTTCCCGAAATAAATGACACTGGAAAACAGAAAAAGTCATCAATTTAAATACACCTTCTACAGATTCGTGAGTTCACAGCTAATCCGCCTTCACTGCATATGCACAAAACTGGAAAATTTCAACCAGTTACTACCCTATTTAATGCATACATTAAAAATTTATTAATTGGCAGGAACACATACAAGAGAAGCTTCAACTACATTTTTCTCATTTGCAGCATTCAGCCAGATTTTCCACATTAAACTGCAAGGAATTCATCTCAGTGGTTTGAAGTTGGCCTGGCTTCTAGTTAAGTATTCCACGCACGCACCCCACCCCTCTCCCCCCCATTACTGGTATGGGATAGAGCATTGGCAATACTGTCGAATGTCAATGGCAGGTAGTTTTTAATTCTTTCTGCTGCATGTGGTTGTTGTATGGCAGTCTTCTCATGCAGAGTGAAATGCAGCTCAGGTGAGTGTGTGTATGTTGCTGGAAAGGTAGTGCACTATGGGAATTCAGTGCACAGGGGAAACAGGTTTTCTTTTTGTTTATAGTTTGCAAGGTCTTTTTCAAGGTTTATTAGTTTTTAACTCTATCTTCTTTAGGTTCAACTGAACAGAGAAAAGGCAGTTCTAGTTTAACAGCTGCTGCTTCAGGGTCTGTTGATTGGAAAAACAAAATCAAACAGGGACAACACAGGAAAGGTGTGCGTCAATTAGTTCATAATTTTAAAAAAATTTATTGGCTTTGGAAGAAGGGATCAACTGAGAAAGAATAGGAATAAGTGAACTCTGGGATCAATACAATAAAAGAGCACAACAAAGCTAAGTAGGTTAAGGGAAGTACAGTTAGCATGAGAGTTAGTTGATCATGCTTATGAATGTTTTTTTTTAAAAAAAAGAGCATTACTAAGGGGCTTAAAGTAGTCATGGTGCAGAACTCATCAGTGATATGCTCCTGTGCTACGTGGCAAATCTTGGAAGCTTCAGTTGTCCCTGGTGACCACGTGCATAGGAAGTGTCCAGCTGTAGCTACTGGACAATAATGTTTCAGAACTAGAGTTACAGGTAAATTCAATGCAGAGCAACCAAGATGGTCACATGCAAGTGCAGATTGAACAGGCAGAAAGGGCACTGGTGACGACCAGGCAGAATAGACGCAAGCAGTTAGTGCAGGAGGCCCTAGTGGTCATCTCCCCTTCTAATCAATAACATTTTTGATACTGTTCTTGGGAGAAGAATGTGTAGGAGAAAGTGTGGGAGCCAGCTCCATGTACCACGGGTGGGTCAGATTGACTGATTTAGTGTTACATGTAGACCATTTAGGACGGAGAGGAAGAGAAATTTCTTCATCCAAAGAGTGGTGAGCCTGTGGAATTCATTACCACAGAAAGTAGTTGATGCCAAGACATTGAATGTATTTGAAAGGTGACTACATATAGCACTTGGAGCAAATGGGAATCATAGGTTATGGGGAGAAAGCAGGATTAGGCTACTGAGTTGGACAATCCGCTATGATCATGATGAATGGCAGAGCAGGTTCGATGGGTCAAATGGCCTCCTCCTGCTCCTATCTTCTATGTTTCTATGCTCCGAGTACAGTGAAAAGCTTTGTTTATGAGCATACAGGCAGATCATAATAAGCAAGGATGTACAGATCAAAACAACTTGAGAGGTATACTGGTTACATTGCACAGGGCATGCGCTAGGCAAAATCAACGTTAGCAAGATCAGCATTATTTGAGGCTAGACAGTCCATTTATCAGTCTGATAGTGGTCTGCTGCACAAACAGGGGGGAGAAAGAACAGCAAGGCTTTTGAAGTAGGGAACCGGTAAGTTGCCTTCCATGTGCCGGGGATGTCATTGAACAGCTGTGGGGCATTCTGAAAGGGAAGGATAAACAGAGATCGTGGTATACATTGGTACCAATGAAATACATCGATAAAGGGATGAGGTCCTGCAAGTATAATTTAGGAAGTAGATTAAAGAAGGTAGTAATCTCTGGATGATTTCCAATACCACCTGCGAGTGAATCTAGAAATAGGTTAGTCCAGATGAATGTGTGGCCACAGAGAATGATGCAGGATGAAGGGCTTTAGATTTCTGGGACATTGACACCGTCTTTGGGGTAGTGAGACATATAAAAAGGTAGACGGGTTGCACCTGAACCAAATGGGACCAGTATCCTTAAGGCCGGGGGTGGGGTTTGTTTGCGCTGTTTGAGAAGGTTCAAAATAATTGGCAAGGGGATGAGTTCCACAGAGAAGATTCAGCAGGGGAAGATGAACAGGCAAAATTAGAAGAAACAGCAAGCAAATCAAGAAAATATTGACATTATAGGTCAGTTAAGACACAAGGGGCAGGGTTAGATGGTTTTTATTTTAACATGGAGTCTGACGATCCAGACAGATGAGTTGAGGGTACACATTACAACAAAGTAGTATGAAGTCATTGCTATCACAGACGTGGTCAAGGTGTGGTGGTTGGTGGTGGTGTTTGGAAAGGGTAGGAGCAGGAAGTTTGGCAGCTCAATATTCCAGGATATAGGGTCTTCAGGAGAGACGGAGACAGAGGTAAAAGAGTAGGGGGTATCTCAGTATTGATCAGGGAATCCATTACAGCACAAAGGGAGGGATGACATCTTAGAAAGTTTTCAGATTAAGCCATATAACTATATCACATTGCTGGGAGTGTATATAGCCCCCTATCAGACAGAAAGAAACAGAAGAGCAGATATGGAGGCATATTTCAGAAGTACAGAAGTAACAGGGTACTGATATTAGGGGATCTCAACTTCCAAACTGATTGAGGGAGTCATGGTGTAAAAGGTTTAGAGGGAGCAGAATTCTTAAAGTGCATTCAAAACAGCTTTTCAAGCAAGTACTTACAAGGCACAAGGGTCCTGGACTTAACATTAGGTTTGCTTTTAAATTCACTTGTGGAATGTAGGCGTCGCTGACTAGCCAGCATTTTTTTTTTTTTATTGCCTGTCCCTAGTTGCCCTTAAGATGGTGGACAGCTGCCTTCTTGAACCGATGCAGTCCACATAACTGTTGGTTTATCCACAATGTTCTCGGGGAGGGAATTCCATGATCGTGAACCAGACAATGAAGGAATGGCAATTTATCCTCAAGTCAGGAATGGTAAGTGGTTTGGAGGGGAACTTGCAGGGGTGTTGAGCCCATCTATCTGCCGCCGTTGTCCTTCTAGGTGGAAGTGGTCGTGGGTTTGGAAGGTGCTGTCAAGTGAGCCTTGGTGAATTTCTGCAATGCATCTTGTAGATAGTACACACTGCTGCAAGCGAGCATTGGTGGTGGAGGGAGTTGATGCTTGTGGATGTGGTGCTAATCAAGCGGGCTACTTTGGATGGCATCAAGTTTGAGTGCTGTTGGAGCTGCACTCATCCAGGCATGTGGGCATCCAGTTAGGAGGTTGATAGTGGGGATTCAGGGATGGAAACACCATTGAATGTAAAGGAGCAGCAAATCAAATTGTCTCTTACTGGAGATGGTCATTGCCTGGCATTAGTGTGCAAGAATGTGGTGTAGTGAGAATGTTACTTGCCACGGGTCAGCCCAAGCCTGTATATTGTCTAGATCTTGTTGGATTTGAATATGGACTGCTTCAGTATGAAAGGTCGAGTGGTGCTGAACCTTATGATGGAGGGAAGTTCATTGATGATGCAGCTGAAGATGGTTGGGCCTAGACACTACCCCGAGGAGCTGAGATGTCTGATGGCCATCAGCCACAACCATCTTCCTGTATACAAAAAGAACAATACAGCACAGGAATAGGCCCTTCAGCCCTCCAAGCTTGCGCGGAGGGTTTTAGTACGAAAGAGCAAAATGTGCCTTCACTTACAGAATCCATATCCCTCCATTCCCTTGCTATTCAGCTATTCATCCAGGTGTTTCTTAAATGCTGTGGTTGTGTCTGCTCCCACCACCTCCTTTGGCGGCACTTTCCACCCTTTGTGTGAAATACATACTATGTATATCTCAAACTTCCTCCCCCTCCCCCCTCACACCTTGAACCTGTGTTCCCTAGTAACTGACCCCTCCTGGGAAAAAGCCTCATACTTTCCACTCTATCCATGCCATTCACAATCTTATAAAACTTCTATTCAGTCACCCCTCAACCTCCTGCCTTCCACTGAACACAAGCCCAGTCTATCCCAGCTTTTTTTCATACCTAATATCCTGGTAAACCTTTTCTGTACCTTCTCCAAAGCATCCACATCCTTCTGGTAGTGTCTTAAGCAGAACTCCAAGTATAGGCTAACTAAAGGCCATAAGACAGGAGCAGAAATTAGGCTGTTCAGCCTATCGAGTCTGCTCCACCATTCAAGCATGGCTGATCTGTTTCTCAACCCGATTCTCTCGCTTTCTCCCCAGAAC